CTTTCCTCGCACAGACAGGGACACCCTGCCCAGCGAGCTCAGCGGTCATTTACTTGAGCTCCAGATACCTGCAAGGTGGGCGGCAAGAGGGATCGGGTGATGTTCCTCCTCATTCGGAGCGTCAGCGGTACCTCATCCTCTCGCATCCATCGAATCAGCGGGAGCAGGGTGGGCGACCGTCCGCCCCACCTACTCGCAACTCTGCTGGTGAATACAACTATCCGGCAACACCTCAGGACTCACCTGACCGCAGGAGGGTGGTTTCGGCTCCTACCACACAGTCGGATTATGGCGACCATCTGCGATGGTCCCGCGACGGACTCAACTTCAATAGCAACAACGCGACTCCTTCTGGCCACCACCCATATCCAATACAGCCGCGCACTAATGCAGCGTTAGTACGGCCAGGTCATCACACTCAGCGGGGGCTTAATGAGATACAGGACTACAGCCACCTGCTGGTGAAAAGTGAGCGCAACCCAAATGGCCAGTGAGTGGTCCAGGCCCGTTCACCGTCCCATCACCCTCAAGACTCAGACTCCTTCTGTAATCCTGCCCTTCCTATCCTCTCTCACTGCCATCCAGTGTCTTTCAAGTCCCCCACCAGTGGCTGAGCTCTAGGACTACCGAGAGTGAGAGAACGAGAGCGTTAATGGTTTGTGTTAAAGCCGCTATCCTCCCCTGCCTGCAGGGTGACACCACTTAGCACGTTAGCGGCTTCTATCACGCCCTGTCTTATGAAGCGGAAGGATCACTTAGGAAAACGGATGCGTTGGGTGATGGGAGGTGAAATACATAATCATAATCCTGCAAACGGCTACGTTGACTGTTTAGCATAGCGAAGCGGTTGTGGATTGGCTCTCTGTGTAATCTCACACTCTGTGCACCTTTCAGTGGAAGTGATCCGTTTCGCTTTCACCTCTCTTGCTTTATGTTTGCACCTGTGGATGCTTCTTTTGTGCATCCGGGGCCTTTGCAGACAAGCTCAAACTTCCTTGTGTCTGTTTGTATGTGTATGTGAGCCACGCCAAAACAGGGATTAAAATGTGCTTGTCGGCTAGGCTTGATATGAAAGCAAAATGGCCGACCAACACTGGAGTTTCTTAAGTGGTCTGATGTCAAATTACTGACTATCCCTCCATCTCTTAACCTATTATGTGTCAGGAAGCAATCAAGACAACTGCCATGTGACTTTAAAGACTTGTGTGCTGGAATATCAGATTTAAATGGGTCATGGAAAAAAGCATTCGCCAAAAATCATGGAATCATGCTTTCTGGACGGAGCAGGGAAACACTGTGGAAATATGTTGTTGGGTGGACCCATTTATTTTGTGGTGTATCTTAAAAACCAAGACGTTTAGTGTGTTTACATACCCTACACATGCTAGCATTAGAGCAGAGCATTTGCAACACTTTCTCTTTCTTTCGCTCAGCCTGGCTTCGTTCTCTCTGCAGTCCATTGAGTCAAATGTGAGCTCGGTTGTCTGGGCCGAGTCGGGCCGCTAGGGAGCTGCATTCAGAGTGTCTCACTGACACTGGGTGTCTTTGTGCGGCCCAGCCAAAGAAGACCATCCCAACAAATAGCCGTTAAGAGTCATGGCCTAGCCATCAGCCCAGCCCAGGAGAATGTCAATGAGGAGCCAGACAAGATCGGACCCCTCTGGGTCCCCCCTCACTGCCAGCTTTCACAAACCTCACAGAATCAGACGAGTACAATGTTACATTTAGATGGAGAGCAAAAAAATCTGACCCACTGGGCTCGCAATGGCACTGGGCCCACTTCAGCCATTGTTCAGTTTCCTCTGGCTCTCTTTGGATTGCTGTTTGTTTGTTTCAGGGTTGTAAACCCCACGGGAGGCAAGAAAGAAATAGTGTACTATTCAATTCATTCACCTCTCAGTGAACGACGTTATCTCTGCTTTCTTCCCGTGAGGCACCCGTAATTTACTAAGCATTACCTGAGTGTGTCCACTAGAGGGCAGTAATGCATAATGCACTCTGCATAATGCATAGATTTTTTTTATTTTAATTTTAATTTTTTTTACTTAGTGCTCAATGGACCCTTTTCACAGTGTGAGATGACGCATTTCTGGAGTAATTAACATTGTAAAAATGTTTTAATTTTAATTTTAAGTTTTATTTAAAGACATTCATACTTTTATGATTTCAGAAGGATCATATGACACTGAAGACTGGAATATTGGCTGCTGAAAATTCAGTTTTGCAGTCATATATTTAAATAGAAAACTGTTATTTTAAATTTTTGTATCAAATAAATGCAGCCTTGGTCAGCATAAGAGACTTTTTCAAAAACAAAATGTTAAATAGTAGAGTATAACACTATACATTTGTTACATTTGCCTGGCATTTAATTACAAAATAAATCGTAAACACTGCTGCAGTGCGATTTCTAAGGGATTGATGGTCAATTTGACATCTTTCTCTCTCCTGACTGCCATAATCAATCCTTGTTTTACTTCTACTTCTTCTTTTAGAAAGTCATGGAAATACAATATTGATTTTATTCTTGTACTGTTGAAACAAATGGTAATGCAAAAATAACATTTGCTATGGTCTCACATTTATTTCACTAGAAGTCTACCCTGCTATTGTTTATATTCCAAACCCAAAAATGTGAAAATGGTCCATGAGAGGGTTTGACATCAAATATTTAGTGGTCCTATAATCAACAATACATCAACACTAAGTATATGTTGGTTTAAAAACAGGCAGTGTTCCAAATGAAAAGTCTGTTGTAGTGATAACAGAGAGAGGATTTAAGGGCACAGGGTAGGAGTGTTTTTTTTTTTTTGCATGTGGATGGATGAAACCCATTGAAGCTGAACATTAAAGCAATTATTGAAGTGTTTAATTTATAGGTTTTAAGTGCCAATGCATGACTGAGTTCAAAACTCTGTGTGTGATTTTTACACAATCAACATTATTGCCGCTGTTTTTTTATTGTAACCCAGCTCATCTGTTCATTTTGGAACTGTTCTACCCTCATACAGACTGAGGCCCACTATGTGCTGAAAAAAGGTCTGCCCACCTGTGCATGCGCTCGCCCTGCTTCCCTCTCACTATCTTTTCACTCTATTGCACCATTAGGCAAAACATGCGTGATTACGCTAAGTCTATCTAGGCCTGATAAAGCCTAGAGATGATCGTGAGAGACGTGCAGAAACACATGCACCCACTTGCTTACTCACACAGCCAGATTTTACAAAGCAATCGCCTGAGATGTGGGCAGCAAAACTCAAGCAGCAAGTCATCTTCCCGACCTCATCCCATATAAGTAATATTCCCCGGAATAAACCAAAAACAAGCAGCAAACACAGGTAATACTTATTGTGAAACCCTGTACGCAATCTCCAAACACTGCCGGGGTTAATTCGCACGAGATTTTGAAGCAGTGAAGTGGAGTTAATTTGCTGCGGAGCTCTATAAAATGTGTTCCCGGAAAAGAAAATAAACGAGGGTTGTTTCACTGTTTTCCTATGTCGTAATTCTCTCAAGCAAGAAATAGAATCGGCCATAAAAACTCTGCTAGGGTTTTGTTTGGACAGAATATATCTAGCCCTGTTTTAGAAAGCTCCCTACTCTCAATTTTCCAATTAAAATTCTGTCTATGAACAGTGAAGACAGTGTGCTCGGGGCTTTCTCGTTGTCTGGGCTGTTTTTTTTTTTTTCTTCTCTGCTTTTTCTTTTAAAGCCCTTAGATTTTTTTTTTTTTTGACGTCCCCCCAGCCACAAACTGCCACAGCTAATGGGCCACCCAACGAAATGTGCAAACACAAAGAAAGAAATGGTTTGTTTAGAAATGACATGCTTTCAGTATGAAAAAGCTGACATCTGACAAGCACAAACGGAGTTTGAATTTTTTTGTAAATTGTAGAGAATATAGTAGCCAGTACTGATACCTTCATTTTTATATTTGTTTATTTGTTTGTTTTGTGGTAATGTTTTAGGTTGGTTTATTGAGTTCATGCAAGTGATTTGATTTGCTCTCTGGTGTGTGAATGTTTTCAACGACAATGATTATACTGCGACTGTGACCTGAATTTCAGTGTTTGATCCTGGTTTCTGAACTGTGCAAAGCCTTCTTTTCTTTAAAAAATTGGATTGGAGTCATTTCTCCTGAAAGAAAGAGAAGAAGAAAAACACTTTTGCGAAAGAGCCAAGTCTTCTGTTAACTGTGATGGATTTCTGATTTGTCTCGCACCGGAGACTGTTCGTGTTACTGGGTCCATTGTCATTAAATGACAAGTCGTGTCCCCTTCAGTGTACATAATTATTTCAGTGCTTAAATGTAATTTAAGTGAACTACCTGCATGAACACAGCCTCGGTCTGAAGTCCACAGATGTAGCGTGTACTTCAACACGACATGCTACTGTGTGCCCTAATATTGTCCACCAATCAGACAGTCACATGCATGCTTTCCAAATCAACAGCACAAATGCACATAAAGACACGTGCACACAAACACTCAAGATCACTTGGACAGTGGGGTCCAAAATGTTCTCTTTTGCATTTTTCTTATTACAAATTATATTATTAGCATGATAATTTAAGTGAAAAGTTTAACTGAAAAACTGACATATCAAAATGTCTTTGTATTCAGTTTGTCCCTCTTTTGCTTTACCAGCAGCTCTCAATAGTTTGTGTAAAACCTGATGATTGTTCTTCAGCATGAATTGAAATGATCCAGAGAGCATCTTGTTTCAATGGAAGTAATAACATCTTACCGTCTCTACAGAGTCACATGAAAAATGACCAAAATGTTCTTATCTGTTAGTGACCATGAAATAGTGCTAAATCTTAAATATTTCTTATTTATTTTGTGCAATAAAGGTTCTTTGTTGAAAATTGCTCCAAATGCTAAAACAACCAAATTTACAAAGTTTTCTGACTTTTGGATCCCACTGTACTTATACATGCGTACACACATTTTTGCATTTGGAAACTCATTGTCCTCAGTTCTGGCTGTCATTGAGCATGGAGACTGTGCTCTGTTATCATTTCCTGTTCTAATAAACCACCAAGAACCTAACTGCTCTTTGTTTTTTTCTTTAAGTTTTTCTGGTGCATTGCATTATTTTTGTTGTTGTTTATTACTAAGGGATATTATGAAGGGCTACTTGGATCTTATTGAAGGGGTTGAAGAGATACATAAGACAAGGTGAGAAACCCTGTTCTACAAGACAAATATCAATATCTCAGAAAAGAGAGTAATGTTGGGTTTGCTTGCAGTTCAGTTTTATTTGAGCAATTGCTCATTTTTAAGTGGTATATGTTTCAGTTCTTCCTGTCCTTCTGCCTTTGGACTGTCCTGTTGTTTTAGACACAGTATATAAACCATAAATGTGACGGATCTCAAGAGTACTGGTACAGAGTGCTTTATTCATTTCGATTCAAAAGCCAATAAGTGTTCTGAGATCAGTACTCATCACCTCAGTGGTTCTTTATAGCAGCCTGCACTGTTTGGTTATTACACCACAGAATAATTTGTGGTCGTCTGATAACAAGCATGACTGTAGACATGAGCTTGAAAATGCCAAACAGATCTTGCAATGAATCTGAGCCACAACTTTATATTGTTTTCCAACCCTGAAGCTCTGGGTATTTATTTCTACCAATCTATTGCCAGACAAATTCATGTTCCCTCATCGGGATTTGACATAGAAGTGGAATTTTAACAAGCTCACCTGGAGCCTCAAGTGAAAAACGAAGGTCAGTATAATAAATCCTTTTGTTGATGCTGTTTACAGGCAATGTGTTTGGAATTAAACCACTACTCGCGTATCAAACACACACAAGCTTACTAGCTACAAATCATGGTCATCCAAGCAACTAAAATAGCCTGATTAATAGCAAAATTGGGTCAAGCTCATATATTTGATCTACAAGCCTCATATTAAATATTATGCTTTAATATGAATGTACTCCTATATTGCATGTATAGTCTCAGCAGATTATTTACATTTACTGATTCGAATTTACAATTCGTCTATGCATCCTATTCTCTTGAAAAGTGCTGCTGATACAACAGATATCCACACGGTGGCAGTGTTATCCTTCTCACAGATATAATAGCCTAACAGTGTGAGGCAACATTATCAATCTGGATTCAAAATCTAACTGAAAACTCTTTTTTTCTTCTTCTTCTTCTTTTTTGAAGAAAATGAAGAAAAATAACAATTTTCTCAGACTTTCAGACCCCACTGTAGAAGTGATGGACAATATCAAACCTTTTGTAATATGTCAGGTTGTCATCTGCAGTCCAATCAACTGCTTTTAATTAATATTACATAAAGTGAACAAAGGACTAGAGGGAATTATGGAGTAAATGCATCTAAATGTTAATCACAACATTTGTGCCACTTAAATGGTAGGCAGAGATGATCTGCCCCATTCAAATCAAACCATCCTAACTTGATTAGTACTAAGTAAATAGGGTGATTGTTGTAAATTGGGTTAAAATGTTGATCGCTGGTGAATGTAACATTCTCTCTTGAACCCACCTTTTCCATACTTCAGTGGTTAAAACAGTTTTATTTTGGATGATCTAAAGAAAATGAGTTACAACAAAAGAATATTATCTGTCATAATGACTGTTTAATATACTATGCCAACATAACTTTAATTAAACTATATGGCTAAAAAAAAGATGTAATTATATAGAATAATATTTCAATAAATAGGCTACATTTATATATATATTTAATAGCAAATGGTCAAAAATGTATAAATATGGATATGTTCTGGATTTCCTGAGAGACCGTGTTGCTATAACAACAGTCTGCTGACATTCTGTTCAGGCACATGTTGATTTGTAAACAGGAGAACTCGTTACTTCATATAGATCATTGAGTTAGACAGTGGAGGAGAGCACTATGTTCATATTTTCAAGAAACACAGCCCCCGAGAGTAATTCAGAGCCGTCCGACTGCAATAATCTGTAATCAAACGAAGCTGAATAAGTGTCATGCACAAATTCACAGAGCTCCTGAAGTGGGACTCCCTCAAGTCTACGCATGATTTGATTTGTGTCATTAAATGTATGGAAATTCACTCAATTTCCAGATGCAGTCTTTAGTGTTTATTTAAAATGTCATATTTTCATAATAATATACATGATAGTCTCTTTGACATTTTTATGTAGTTTATTCAATACAGAAGGCATTCACAGTGCTTTAAACACCCACATTTTCAAAAACACTCAATGGCACCTGACTGACACACAGACTTTGTCAAATAATCACATGTAAGACTGCAGAATGCCCATTTTTTCTGTATTGAACGTACTGGATAGTTGGAAGGCAGAGGGTTGTCGGATACAGAGGTCAAGTTCAGTCTATAACAGAGATAAGAGTGGACTGTTTTACACATATCCTCTTCACATAAAACATGGAGCTCATTTATTTGACAAGGTATCCCTTTGTCCAAGACATGTACTTAAAATTCTCAAGCACACTCACACTTGTTTAAACGAGCTTTCAGTGTGTCAGTCGCCAGTGACATGATTAGCAGCTGAGGCACTTCAACAGGAGGCCACCGAAAAGCATTCTGACCAGCTCTAAAAAAAAAAAAAGGACAGTAGTCTCTTTATCCAGCTCAAGTCAGTTTGTGTTTATTCAGTTCAGTTCAATAACTGTCTAAAGTTCATGAATTATCAAACAAATTTGATTCAGCTATAAAGCAGCTCTACAGAAGACAACTGTGTCATCATACAGCTCAATTCAAATATTATCTACATTTTTATTTAATTTATGGTTTAATTTAAATCAAGCTCCTTAGTTGTGTCAGTATTTTTATATAGAGGATGATATCCATTACTCCTAGGCTCAAATAAACACTGTTAAACACTAATAAGACAAAGAGAGATTGACTTAATTTAATCAGTGAACCTTTGGTGAATTGTAATTGTCTCAATTTCACTCAATTTAACACTAATCAGTTTAATCTCCCCCATTATGTCACCAGCTTAAAAGATTTCAACACAACTACTAAATACCTACAAAACAAAAAAGAAACTTTTTTTCTATATTTAAGGTATCAAAGGTATAATCTATGGTATTATGAAATGTCAAGGCTAATGAATTATTGAGACTCCCTCTGTGACACAGCAGAAACAAGAGCCAAGAGGTTCACTCTCAGATGTTATTAAGGTGACAATTGAGGTCACTCTATCCTCCTTTTTTTATTGGAGAGATGAGGTTCTGCCAGATCTGGGCCAGACACCTTCCAGGATTTGCTGTTCTGGTAGTAATTACATGAGACATCAGAGCTCCAGAATCAGGTTCCAGCTGAAGTGTGAATACATGACCACAATGTATCATCTGCAATTTATGACTGACATGCATTGTCAGACTCTTTGTAGCTCATCAATTAGAGCATTGCACAACCAACATCAGGGTCATGGGATCAATTCCCAGGGAACACAGGATAAATATATAGTTCGCCTGCAAGCTCCTTTGTAAACAAATGTCTGATAAATTAATTAAAAATGTGAATTTATTGGCAGGGTAAAAGTTCTCTAATAGCTGAATGAAAGTCATTATACAGTGTGAAGAAAATATTCCAAAACATATTAATCATTTCAGAAAACTTGAAATGAAAATTAACCCAGTACCCTCTAGCAAATTAATATGATCTCATAAAAAAGCAAGAACATGGACACAAAAGCCTTTGTTTGGAAATAAATTTGATCGTGAAAAAGAGTTGCACTATATTGTTTGCATCGGTGATCTTGTTTACTGCTTTATGTTACATGCAAAACAAGGTGTGTCATCTGCTCACATACAACCTGAAGGAAGTTGAGAGGTTCATTGTCTGTTCTGCCATCCTCCCAATCTTCGCTGACCCAGAAACCTGAGTCCCTCATTGCTGATATCGACTAGATCATCAGCACAAGATGGCATCATGACACTCATTGGGCACAGAAGGCACATGTAGCACACACAGTAAAAGAAAAAACTGAGCACCATCACCTGTGTACCAACCCTCATCCTCTTTTATTGCTAAAGAGATAATTTACCCAAAAATGAAAATTCATAAATTTATCACTGAATATGTCATTCTCCTCTGACCAGACGAAACCAGCAGTTCAATTCCAGGCTGCAGCAAAGTCACATTGTGCAGAGGACTCATCTGGTTCTTGTGGTCTGGTCCCGGTGACCATCTAGGAGACAAGGGCCCGTATTCACAAAACATTTTATCTTACCACTAAGAGTTCTCCTAAATAGCAGTAAAAGTTTTTAGCTAAGAGTTTTCTCTTAAAACCTATTCACAAAGCTGCTGAGACAAACATTTACTAAGGAATAGAGAGAAGTCTTAAGCTAAGAGTAAGGGCGGGGTTGACCTCGTTGCTATGGATGATGTCAGCATACTAACTATGCACACGGTGATTGGCTGATAGTCTCTGTCAGAGATTTATTCATAGAAATATTGAAGAGCACAATATTATGTTGCTGTATTCAAATAAAGGTTAAAAATGCAGGATAAGTGTCACTAATTAAACAAATATGTTCAGCTTATTGTCAGCCTCTTACATGTATGCTTCTCAAAAACAATTAGCGGATATGCATATAAACATTAACAGAGTAGAATAATCATGGCTGATAGTAATACATGCAAACTTAAAATAAAAAAAAACCTGGATGCAAGAACAGCTGTTACTTCTTGTCCAACTGGTTAATGAAAACAAAGATAAAATCGAAAGGAAAATTAGTTGGGGTAACCTCCAAAACCAAAGGTGATACCTTTTTAAAAGGTCATTATCATCAAATGTTTCTAAAATGTTTATATTGCGAGGCAGATTGCCAGCAACAGCCGTTTTAGGATAGTTTGTGGTTTGGTCTTAGTGATTTAGGAGTCCTCTTCACTACTCCCAACGTTTCACAGATTTAGGAGCTAGTTTTAGTGCTAAAACGCTTAGAGCAAAAATGTAGGAGTCCTAAATTTAAGATTGACGCCCATTATTTTTAAGATTTTCTCCTAAATCGGCGAGTT